TTGTTTTGGTTCTCTGTTCTATGGAGATCGTGGTTTTATTGCTTTTTGTTTTTTGCTCGTGTTATTTACTTATGCTTCTTGCTTTTGCTCTTGCACAGCACGGCCCGACTGAGTCATCCGTGAGCCAACTGGCAGGGTCAGACGCAATCCAAACAGACGCCTGTAGCTTGTTGCCTGTTGCCTGCCGCCTGTTGCTTCAACCTCAACCTCAACTGTACTTGCCGCTGCCGCTATAAATTAAAATTATGTTGTAAGCATGCCAAGGTGCTTGCCAACTCACACACAAACACACACACACATATGCCTGCATACACATACACACACTCACTCACAAGGAGCAGACGCCGAAGCTGCAAACTGAGGCTCAGTTCCAAAACACAACCTTCAACTTATCCACCTAACGAAGCTCGAATGCTCTTTGATGTCGATACTCTGAAATTGATGTACTTCTGCCCATTTCAAATAAAAATTGAGTTTCTATTTTAAAATAACATAAATTATTGACAAATATAGATAGTCAATTTATATGCATATAAATTAAACATTAAATTATAGATTAAACTTGGAGCTTCGCTTAACAATATTATGAGCTTGTTGTAATTTTTTGTGCAAGAGTATATTCAAATTCGTATTTCGATTTGAAATGTTAAATTTAATAAATAGTTAAATATTTCTAATTTAACATAATAAAGATTTTTTAATAAGATTTATTCAAGAGTTTGTAGGTCTTCAATAATAATAATACTTATTAATTCGTTGATTTTATAAACTCAACTTTCTTTGCATAAGTAAAATGCCAGACTCAAAAATAAAAAAATTATAAAGAAGATAACTAAAACATTTGATTTTTTGTTTGTATTAAAATTTTATAGGCTGGCTTTTATTTTGTATTCGATTTCTTATTGAAAGGAAAAGAAAAGAAATTTAATTTTATGCTAATTCCTCAACTAAGTGGCTAAACAAAGGTGACTCAAAGGCGAGAGAGGGGGTCGAAGTGGACGAAAAGCTGTATTGGGAAACTGGCCTGGTTGGTTTTTTGGTGAGGGTATTCAACAAGGCGGAGCAAAACGAAAGGAAGACGACAACACAGGCGAAGAGGACGACGACGTCGGCGTCGACGGCGTCGCTAAAATTGCAGCTTGCAACATTAACATGTTTTATGTGAGCTCGACTCTCGAGGCACGTCCAGGGAAGAGCGAAACGGAGCTGATTGTGGATGGCAGCTGTTAATGATGTTGATCTTTATAATGATGATGATGATGATGATGATGATTATGATGCTGATGAGGCCGCTTCCTTTAAGCAAAAGCTTGGCAAACGATCTCATCTGCGTATGAAAGCAGATTTCGAGCGCTTTGTTTTCTTTTGCTTTATGATAGGAAGGAAGTGGTCCTTTAAGCGAGAGAGTAAGAGAGAGAGAGAGAGAGAGAGAGACAAGCTAAAACACAGCTCCGACAGCCAGTCAGGAAGGAAGTTGCGCCGGTTCCAGGCTTAGCGTCTTCGATTTCAATGCATCGGACAAAGAGCTGCCACACTGGAGTACATGAAGTCAAAGGATGCAAATTGTTTCCAAAATGTTATTGACCTCTGCCAAAAGATGAAGACGAAGTCACCGTCGCCGTCGCAGACGAAGACCAAGATGCCCCTGCGTAGACAGATATTCAGATATTTTGCTGCTGTATTCATTGTGCATAGTCTCAAATTTGAGATTCCTGAGCCATGGCAAATGCCAACGCGGCGACATTTTCCATGTGTTGACAATAATTTTGCTTCTCTTAATATTTGACTTTTTCCTCCCATTCTCTTGTTGTTTGCGTCTCTTGGGCTAACCGTTGGACAGGCACGCCTACACATGCCGTTGGCCATGCCCATGCCGATGCCCATTCCCATTCCTATTCCTATTCCTGTGCATAATCTATGCTTCTTAAATTTAACTATTTAATTGCTTCATTTCGGCACGACATGGCACGGCATGGCACACATGTTCAATACAACGAACTGAGCGGAACGATCCTTTATTGATACTTTTTTCTCTTTTTTCCAATATTTATTACGAACAAATGACAGCCATAAGTGCCTGTCCAAGTATCCACTTACACAGCGCTTGCACATCTCTCCCATCCGTCAGTCTATGCCTCTCGCTCTGCTTTTGAAAAAAAAAAAACAAAAAAAAAAAAAAAAAAAAACACACACACACACACGCACACACTTGAAATTCAGCCAGTCACAGATCATTTCTTCTTTGTGTGTGTCTGTGTGTGTGAGTGTGCCCATGCCTGGGGTCAACATTTAACAAAATCTTCTCAAGCATATTGGCGCTTAGCTTGCGGTTTTACATGGTGCAATTTTTTAGGCAGATCATATCTTAGAATATTGGAGTTTGGCTTTAATAAATGTCAATAACAAAATCTATAAATATATGGCACATTTGCTACGAATTTCCTCTATTTGCCTGTACCAAGGTAAAAACTAAATATACACGATTTGGTTGAAGTACATATAATAAAATACTAATTATAATACAGCGATCAATAGGCAACATATTCACAACATATCATATTCTTTATAAGGCTTAAGCTCGAGTATACATCATAGCCATAAATCATGGTGTTGAATTTGAGCTCTTAATTAAACAAATTTATATTATTATTACATAATGAATAAAATATTAAGTACCATTTTTTAGCTTTAAAATGTATACACCTTTTTGTTTCTATTTGTTGTGCATGTAGTCGTCGTATTCAATAAGAAATTTAGACACTTAATACTTATGTTCGATAATATAATGAGTAAATCATAAAACTTAATATTTTATTATTAAAGTCTCGAGCCTTAAAAAATAGAAGTTTGGTTAATAAGTGAGTAGTTTCGCAAGTCAAAACATTATAGATCTTTTTTTAACCTTAGTAGTATTCCAAATTCCTAAAACTATACACATACTTACATGTGCGTATGTCTTCTGTCAATGCTATGCAAAGCCTAAGTAATCATAATAAATGAAGTACAAAATGCAAAATTGGAGACATACATACATATGTCAAGGGTCTGAAAATAAAAGATCGTTGACATTAATGTAACCTTTATAATAATATAATAATACCCACTCTCTCTCTCTATGCTGCCTTTTTAGCTTCTTTCATTTAGCTGAAATTGTTTTGATTTACATGCAAACGATATAAAATTGATCAGTATACAAGCATACATACATATTTAATTACAAGCTACAAAATTTTCCATGGGCAACGTGTGAACAGGAAAACCCACGAAGGTAAAGAACCCAAAGCAAATACATGTCTCAGAATAACAATAACAACTAGCGAGAGATGGCGACAGCGAATGAGAGAGGGACAGAGAGTGTGGAAAACTGTCCACACATCAAATGCAACCATATACACACATGCATATATGCTTGCATGCACATATATGTACATACATATGTACACCTCTATATATGTATGTATGTATTAGATTATGAAACGGATTTTCAGTTCGGTTTCAGTTTCGATTTCGGTTCGAATTCGATTTCTGTTTTTTCCGCTGTGTGTCTGACAAAAGATAAGGTTAATCAAGGGGAGCGACTGCATCGACTCCATTTCCATATTAACATAATCAATGAAGTATTAAAATGTTGCCCAGTGTGCGTGCGTGTGTGCGCCCAAGAATAAAAAGGCCCTCGGAAGGGCTACTATCTTTCATTAAGCGAGCCGGGGCAACACTCTAAAATGGGCATAGTTAATTCTTGAATGCACTTACCGAACATTTTCAATCAGCAGCCAAAGCAACAGTTAGGCAATTGTGTGACCCCCTACCGATGAGAGCGGTTCCGTTTCGTTTCTCTAAGCAACAGTAAAGCCTTCGCACACACACACACACACACACATAGACAGAGACAGACAGACACAGGCGAGCGATCACGACGAAATGATATTCGAGTAAAATGTGTACAGATTGCAGCCAAGTGAAGTGACAAATTGAACGGAGTGCGGCACTCTGGTTGCCTGACTTGGTGCACGTGAAGCGTTTTTCAAATGTTCGAGTCTCTACGGTTCTAAAGGATAACGCAACAGGAGTTCGTTCAGCGCATATCAATTGCTGTGCGAAGGAAACGTTTAGCCTTAAACACTTAAAAACGCCTTCCCAGCACATTCAAAAAAAAAAAAAAAAAAAAAAAAAAAAAAAAATATATATATATTAGTAATAATAATAGTAATGAAAAAAAAAAAAAATAAAAAAAAAAACGAAATACACAAAAGTCAAGTATTATTCTTATCTGCTGGCACATAAAGTGCCAAAAATTATGGCAAGAGGAAATTGGAGCCGCCGACGCGACGTCAACAGCGCTGTCAGCGTCAATGTCAGAGTGCGAGACGAGCTGAGGGAGAGAAAGAAGAGACCAGAAGGCGACCAGAGACGAGCTGAGAAGACGGGAGTAGCCAGAGTCTACGCTCCCTGCATACAAGCACTACCGCAACACATCAGCGGATGAGGCACTTTAAAATGTGCTTCATTGCATGGACTATCATCAGACATGCTGAGCGCATCTGCAGAGAGCCTCGATGTGCCGCACTATTTGAGTTTATTATTGCCTTCATACGCCAATATGTTACATCTTAATGCGTAAATGTTGAGCAGAACCTGAAACATTTGCATTTCCGCTCTAGATCCATTCCACCCTAGCCGTGCCAACTGCCTCATGCTACAGCTCGAGAGTATGCTGCACATTAAATAATATTGCTGCGCTGAAGCGTAGGCTACACTCTTAATAGTTGGCAGTTCAATCAGCACAAAGATGTGAAGAAAATATGATTTAGAAAATGTTAAAATCAATTAAAATATTTAAATATTAACACCATTGTTGAGTGATTGGTATAGAGCTGATGACTCATCTTTACTTTGCGGCTAAAAGATCAGCAAAACTGCAATTCGAATTTAAAATTGAATTTAAGCAAGTTGGCAGCTCTGCAGGGGAAATCAGCTGTTCCGTTTTGTACATTGTACAAGGCACTTTAGTTAAATTAAAATAAATATGTGTGCCATTTTGTGCACTCGAAAACAGTGCAATGCGTACGCTCTTGTACAAAACAGTTGACAGATTTGACGGATTTCATGGAACTCAAGCAGCATGTAGAACCGACGCGTGACGACATCTTGGACCAGCTCCGAAAGGTATTGGAATTGCCAATTGCTTTTAGTGTTATCACATCGCTTTTGTTTGTTATTTTGCTGTTGCAGCGCGAATTGTACGTGCCGAATGCGGAGTGCTTGGCAATGGAACAGCTGCTGCATATCTACAACTCTTTCATCATACCGCATCCGCAACGGGAGCGGCGTGAGCGACGGCGCACGCAGACTGAGACGCAGCCAAAGCCCGCCAATCGATGCGCGCCTGAGGAATTTGAACAGCTGATGAAGCGCTCCAATGGTCCAGTGGTCTGCGTGGCCAGTGAGAAACGTCCCATCGAACTAGCCACAGGATCCCCTGGGCACCTGCTCAACTGCCCACGAAAGCGTATCAAAATTGAGCTGAAACAGTGACCTCACCCCTCCTCCATTCTCGCATGTGACTCAGTCGACGGCTTATCAGTTGTGCTGCTCAAATAGTTTTGACCACGATGCAAGTGAGAGACGGGAAACCAAAGTTGTGCCTTAGAGCTGTAGCTGCGAAGTTTATTGAATTGCAGGATACAGGTGTCCTTAGATCCATACATACATAGTATGTATGTATGTACGTTAGCAGTACGCCGTTTTAACATAGTCTAAAGATTGAAATTGATTCTAGCTTTACCAAAGACCCTAAAGTACAAGTGATACAAAATATACTTGGTTAATTTTATACCTTCTCGAGGTAGTTTATTGTATTTGTATTCCAAAAATATAGTCAAAAGTTTCTTTAGTCCACACATATGAGTAGCTTAAAATATCCGCGAAATGGGCTGCAGAGAGGTGCTGCTTTATTTTTCGCACCTGTGCACACATACTATATGGATATACATACATATGTATGTATGTACATACATGTATAGCTTAGTTTACTGCGCTCATGGCATTTGCAGCATAGAGCCAGTGTGTGCCAAAATGAAACGGATGCAACGATGCTCATTGCGCACACACAGCAATGAGCGGGACAGAGCGAGAGCCGCTGTCACATTCACACAATTTATGCATGTGTTATAAATGTATGTATAAAAGTAGTTTTTATTTTTTCGGCAGGAAATGATTTTGTTTTCGAGAGTTATACAAATGGCTGGTTAATCTTACCTTATTGTATAGAGACATGTTCACCCTAATGTTTATTTAAGATTAAGTTAATTTAAATATAAAATATAAATGCAATTTTTGTTCTACAAATGGATTAAATGTAAAATTTTCGGGACAAATGATATCAGACCTAGAGCTCGTACACTTACATACATAAATAATTAATAGCTATCGAGTCTCAAGTAATTATGTCTGCATTGAGGACTTGAACGAAAATATGCCTGATCAACTAGGCTTTTAGAAAATAAACATATACATATAAATTTACAGGGGTCAAACAAATACATATGTATATACAGTCCGTTTACGAGCTATAGCTAAAATCAGGAAGGGCTTAAAACAATTTATTTTTTGGCATCGATTTGACAAAAAAAATGTCTAAAATTATATCATATAAAGCCTTATCTTATGATGTTCGTTTACTCCTAGTCCATAAATTCATCTTCGTCGTCGTCGTCCTCATCATCGTTACGTGCGTTCACATTGTTGTTGCCTAGCTGCCTGCCACGGGACGGGGTACGTCTCGGATATGAGGCCGGACTGGACGCAGTGCGGTGCGCATTGCGAAGCCTGCCGGTGGGCCGATAGTACATGCTGGATTGAAGAAAGTCAAATGCCTCGTCCTCGTCAGCACCTTCCAGAGAGTCCTCAATGGTTCGGGAGTAGTCCTCGATTTCTTCGTCAAACAAATGCGGGGCGCCGTTGGCAAAGGAGGCAAAGCGCATCGGATCACGTAGGGCGCTGATAACACTCCATTGGCGGCAATTCGGGCTGTTCACGTAGTCGCGCAGCTCGGCCAGCGAACGGGCTGTCTCACTCACGGCCTGCTCATAGTACTCCTCCTGGGTGAGTAGGCGGCGTTTGGGCGGAAAGCGTCGCTTGTAAAAACTGCGCACGTACTGCAGCACCGAATTTGGACAATAATGGGCTGAGCAGACGAGCACCAGGAGGACAACGCACGCACTAGTATGCCAGCTGCTGAAGTAGACGATGGCAGAGCCAACTGCCTGTAGAACCCACATAATAATGTTTTGTGAGCGCGGATTCCTGGGCGGTCCGATGCGATAGCAGACGAGAAACGATATTAGGCCAGTAATCACCAGATACCAAAGCACATATTCGCGATAGGTGATTAATATGACACGTATGTTGTCCGATAGTTGTTTGAGAATGTAAAAGCCGATGGTCCACCCTCCGATTAGTACGCCGTACATCATTGGACGGCGAGGAAAGAACTTCGACGTTACGGCGATGATGACCAATAGCGAGGCGCAAATCCCAAGCACCATACCCGCCATATAATAAAAGAGACTGTTCTTCGCCAAGCGGCCCGCACTCCAGAACAGAGCCATGCCGAGACACAATTGTAGGAGGCGCCATATATCCAGTTGTGCGTGTTTGACGATTATATTGTACGGCTGCTTGGAGGATATGCCGATGCATTGCTGTTCGAATGGCGATAGTTGGATATTTTGCCGCTTCTGTGAGAAAAGCGTGAAGCTGAACAGCGAACGCTTTTCAGTGTAATGGTCAAGGACTTCTTCGGGCGTCCGCCCGCCATATTCGGAGTAGTCATCGCTGGCTATAGAGAGCACCAGTTCCACAGTCTCAAATAGGCTTAAAAGTGAGCGAGGTTTACCCGGATAACAGAATGTTCGCAGCACATTGTTTCCATAGCTGTTTGCAGTTATTTCATTTGAAGTGCCGACAGCGAGATACACGGTATCAGTTATAAGCCGACCGGCAGATGCCGGCTTGAAAGATAATAGAACTAAGAGTCCTATTAATTGTAAGTAACTCATAGTTGTTTAGACTGAGAAATCGCAGCTTTATATATTCCGATTCGCTCTGAATTTTTTCAGAGTTCATTTACGTACACACACCAAAAACAAATAAATAATAATTTATACTGAGGCAGCTTTCTCAAAGCGATAAACGAGCTGTACTACTGTGGTTTGAAACAAGCTGTACATTTTGATAATAAATATGACAAAATTCTTCACTAAGGACTCATGTTTATTTCGTTTGTATACTATGCGAAATATGACGCAATATATTCTTTTTTTTTTTTATAATTATTGTATGTATTTACATTCATAAATACATTTATATTTGTATTATTATCTAATGTTTATAGTACTGCATACCAGCCTCGTGTGTGATTGTCGATAGTTTATGGCGGCAAGTCGATAGAGAGAGAGGAACTAATATCGATATTAATTCAGAATTCGGGCAATCGATATGAAGAAAATAAGTGATTGTCGACTTGATTCACATCTCTAAGCAGCGGCACTGGTTAAGAGCTAAGCGACGATTCCACAATCTTTATTTTCGCCACACTCCAAATAAAAAAGGTAATCAAATTGCTGCAAAAAGGATGTTTTCAATGAGAAAATAGAACAGCATGCAGGCTGCATTCCGTGGTGCTCTCACAGTGTTTAGTTAACTAAATGCTTGTCACTTGTCGCCTGTGGCCTAACCTACAAAGTTACATAATTTGTATATATTTTATTTTGTAAGCAGTTAACTGTTTTGTTAGGCTGAGTGAGTTAACTTACCAATTGACTCTAATACCCTTTATTTTACTTTTTCAGAACAAAATGTCGTTCGTGAGAAACGCTCGTTTGTTGGCCATGCGCGGCGCTCGTCTCGGCCAGAATCGCTCCTACTCAGACGACATGAAGCTGACATTCGCTGCTGCTAACAAGACCTTCTTCGACGCCGCAGTTGTGCGACAAATCGATGTGCCCTCTTTCAGCGGCTCCTTCGGCATTCTGGCCAAGCATGTGCCCACATTGGGTAAGCATGATTCGTTGTTGCTATTCATCAATCCAACGTAAATCAATCATCAATCTCCTGGCCGTTCTGCCCATAGCTGTGCTGAAACCCGGTGTTGTCCAGGTGACCGACAACGACGGCAAAGTCACAAAGTACTTTGTCTCCAGTGGCTCAGTGACCGTCAATGAGGACTCCTCCGTGCAGGTGCTCGCCGAGGAGGCACACAACATTGAGGACATCGATGTCAGCGAGGCCAGGCAGTTGCTTTCCAAATACCAGTCTGAGCTGAGCTCTGCTGGAAGCGACAAGGTGAGGGGTTCTTCATTGCACTTGAAAATGAGTAAATAAGAAACGTCGACAACTAACTCTTTAATTCGCATTGCAGGCCAAGGCAGAAGCTGCCATTGCCGTGGAAGTTGCTGAAGCGCTAGTCAAAGCTGCCGAATAACTCTAAAAAATCTTTAAACAACTTTAATAACATTAAACAACGGAATCCGCAACAACAACAACAACAACAACATCAACATCAACAGCTTACAATTGTGTTTAAAATAATTAAAGCAAAACAAATTTGTCGTCGTTAGCGTCGTTCGCATGCCCCAACAAATTTGTTATGAAACAATAAAATAAGCGAATACGTATAATATAATCGTAAAGCAAAAGCTGACCAGCAACAACAACAGCACAGCCCAACATAAACCACATTTTTTTGTTTGTTTGTTTGTTTTTTTTTTTTTGTTTTTTGTTTTTGTTCGCGTGCTCAAACATTTGTAAAGCCCCGCCAAAGATAAAAGAAAATGTGAAATTTAACAGTTTATTTATGCAAATGCGTCAGATTATTATCTATTGTTATTCGCGCAGGCGCAACAGCTGGCGTTGCAACTAAGCCATTGGCGATAACGCGAAGGTCAAGTTTAGAGTGGGCTCCAGTGATATAACTGATTTATTTTTTCTTTAGTTAGCCCACTTCCCGCGCGTTGTATGTGTGTGCGGGGCGGCAGGTGTGGAGTGCGAGTGCGTTGATATTTACAGAATTGCAATACATATTCAAGATTCGTTCTAGTTGCTTGAGTACCTAGCAACGATTTCATTCTGATGCTCATAAAACTTTATAGCTGCAGTCATCAGGCAGCCCAATATGGAATTGGATTTTTATTGAAATATATATATATATATATATATATATATATATATA